CAGCAACATCGCCAGCAGCCACACACATATGTGATCGTGATGATTAGATAAGCAAATAGGCGGACAAAGGAATAATAAGCTCTTATTCCATGTAACATAAATTACAAGTGTAATATTTACCTGATAGATGTCGTGTGGTAAAATAATAAATACAAAACCATGATATATATATGATATGTGTCCACCAACAACTTTATCGATAATCATCCTGCCTCCCCACTCCCAGAACTTCAGATAACTTTAAAATGCATTGATTCTGTAAAATTATTTTGTACATGATAGTTTTTCAAGATGGCATACCCCATCTCTTTGTCCATTCGAGGTAAAAGCTTTAAGTTTTTCATACTAAGGAACATTGAATGTACCCGAGTTTACACTTAGAAAATCATGCCAGCAGATCCCATTAAGTAGCCTCTAATGAGGCGTGTTTCACTGATACACAACTAATGGACACGGAAGTTCACATGATCAGCTCCCTTCTATCACCCTGTCTTTACACCGTGCGCAAAAAACTGCGTCACTCGTAAAGTGATACCACAAAAGCAGCCCAAAAATGCCCTGTCAAACTAGCTGGCTTACTAAGCTAGCTAGCTTGACCCCCTTAGGCCTTGTTGGGCTTCCTCACTTTTCGTTCTCTCCTTGTTCCCCACTGCTGCTTCGCACTTCACGCACCCACACATTCGCCCACAGCGGAAGCTCTTACAAGTCTGGCACAGCATCGAGGCTCTGGCAATCTCCACCAGATTGGAAATCTTGAATTTAACCACAACCAGGCACACTGTGCTCGTCTCGACTTCGACTGTCCACTACACGCAAAAGTTTATAAGTGAATAACTAACACTACTCCAAAGCCTATACGCACTTCTCCTTGAGCCTCAGCATGTAACGCAGCTCACTCTACTTATCCTGTTGCTCACCCGATCTGACGACGATCCTAATCTGCTCAGTATCGACTCCATTCAACTCGGCACCCTCCCTCAGGGATCACTAAATACCGTTTCCATATACCACTGGCTTTACGTCGTCTGTTTGAAAAATGGCCTTGCATCCACTGGCGAATATGCTGTGGAAATGGGTGAATGTGGCATGGTAAGTGTAAAGCGCTTTGAGTGGTTGGAAACCAGGAAAAATAGTCACAGTACACCAAAGTGACAGTTCCATTTACGATAGTACCAATGTTGTTGCCAAAAAATGTGCTAACACCTGTCCTGCTTTGTATCACCTGTCCAGCACATACATATGCTGAATTTCTGTATTTTTATGTGATATCGCTCGCTGTTCATGGTTACAGCAATATTCGATATTATTCTTATCACTGCCATGAAGCACCTTCATGCAGCGCCGAAACTCTTTCAACCAAATGGCTCCTATTCTCCTTCTCCCACCTTTTATCAGTTGTTCACCACTTAATCGCTTGTGCTGTCGCTGCCGTTGATGCGTCGGAGACTACTTCAACTGTTTTTTTGGTCTCTTTTTTCCATGATGTATTGGACAGTAATGCGTGTATCTGGAATACAGTTTTGTTCTGTGTCCATTCTGCAGCCATTGTGGCCTATGCCCTCCTAGTCCCACCATCAACGGCAGCACAGCCACAGCATAAGTGGTGAAAACAACTGATAAAAGGTGGGAAGGATGAAAGGAGCCATTGGTTGAAAGAGTTTCGCCCTCATGAAGGTCTTCAGGTGATAAAATAATATAATAATTCTGTAACATGATCCACATCATATCACATAAAAATAAGAAATTCAGCATATGTATGTCTGACATATACAAACAGGACAGTAGCACATTTTTTGCAACAACATTTATTTGGTAAATGGAACTGTACTTTTGTACTGTACTATTTTGTAGTCTTCCAACCACTCAAAGCGCTCTTACACTACATGCCACATTCACCCTTTCACACATATTCACTCAGTGATGGCAAAGGCCATCAAACAGACACTAACTCATTCATACACATTCACACACTGATACACAGCATCGGGAACAATTCGGGGTTCAGTATCTTCAGGATACGTCGACATGTGGCGGAAGGAGCCGGGGATTGAACCAACAAACTTTATTAGTGGACCACCCGCTCTTCCTCTGAGCCACAGCTGCCCCAAATTTCCCAATAAGTGGATAATTTTGTTCTTTTGTCTCACCTGACGCCTAACCTCTCAACTAGGACTCAAGAGCTCACGCTGCGACCATTTCAACTTGCGAATTTCCGAATTTCCAGCGTTGGACAATGTGGAGGGAACAGGAAAAGGTAAGCCCAAACTAGGCCTAAGTGGTCAAGCTAGCTAGCTTAGTAAGCCAGCTAGGTTGACAGGCATTTTGGCTGTTTTTGTTATCACTTTGCATTATCTGCAGTGTTTTATTCTTCAGGCTTCTCAAAAAGTGCAGGTGATAGAGGAGCTGATCATGTGAACTTCACCTGCATATTGTGTATCAGTAAACTTGCCTCATTAAGGCTATTTAATGGATCATCTGCATGATTTTTAAGTTAAACTGGGTAAATTTTAATGGTCTTAATATGAAAACCTCAAAACTTTTACCTGAATGGAAAATGGCTATACATTTAATTTGCCCTTACAGTCGAGAAAACACATTGCTGATCCTCATAGGCTGCCGTACATGCTCAAAATAAACTGCTGACTACAATATCCAGCCAGTGGTATATGGAAATATTTAGTGATTCCCTGAACTGCCAGTTAGCAATGGAGTTTATACCTGAGCAGAAGGACTCGGTCAGATCTACAACAGGTAAGTAAATACTGGCTTACACTACTCAAAACCATGCTATAGCTTTAGTAGTTTGTTATTCAGCTATAAACTTTTGCTTATTACTATTCAAATCAACAGTCACATTTCCTGTTTTTAAATTCAAATTTCACAATCTGTGAATTCCAAGAGCTCACGCTGTGCCAATTTCTACTGTTGAATTTCTGAATTTCCAGCATTGGACAACAAGGAGGAGGGAACAGGAAAAGGTAAGCCCAAACAAGGCCTAAGGGGTCAAGCTAGCTAGCTTAGTAAGCCAGCTAGTTTGACAGGCATTTTGGCTGCTTTTGTTATCACTTTACATTATCTGCAGTTTTTTGTCTGCAGGCTTTTTAAAAAGTGCAGGTGATAGAGGAGCTGATCATGTGAACTTCACCTGCATATTGTGTATCAGTAAACCCGCCTCATTAAGGCTACTTAATGGGATCATCTGCATGATTTTTAAGTTAAACTGGGTACATTTTAATGTTCTTAATATGAAAACCTTAAAGCTTTTACCTCAATGGAAAATGGGTATGCATTTAAAATATGCTATGTACAAAATAATTTTACAGATCAATTTGCATTTTAAAGTATCTGAATTCTGTAGTTTATGAGCAAATTGGGATTTATTCATAAAGGTTGTTGATGGACTACCATAGCAATATATATATGTATATATACACACACACACAGAAATATACACAAATATACATGGAAAAAATCATCCTTTTGGGTTTTAGGTTCTATTTTGCTAGATAACACATCACAACTGTTGCCCGACTGTGGCAAGAAAACATGATAATTTGCCCTTACAGTTGAGAGAACACAGTGCTGATCCTCATAGGCTGGTGTACATGCTCAAAAAAAACTGCTGATCACAATATCCAGCCAGCGGTATATGGAAATATTTAGTGATACCTGAACTGCCAGTTAGCAATGGAGTTCATACCTGAGCTGAAGGACTCGCTCAGAACTACAACAGGTAAGTAAATACTGGCTTACAGCACTCAAAACCAAGCTATAGGTATAGTAGTTTGTTACTCTGCTGTTAAGTATTGCTTATTACTGTCGCATTTCCTTTTTATAAATTCAAATTTCAAAATGTCGTATTCTCCAGTATGTGTCACCAGAAAGATTAACCATGTCTTAAATCTCCACATAGTTCTTTCCCTGGTGGTTTTTGTCCTTCTCCCAGCACTCTGTCTTGAAGGTAACTTAAAATACACTCAACCATGTAAGTTTTACATGTGTAAAGGGAAATGTAAAGATAAGGAAATTATATCTACTGTGACATGAACTGACATATGGCACTATAATATCATAATAGTGTGTGGAAAGAAGTCACTGTTTTTACTTTGTTGTACCTCTTATGTCTGCAAGTTCACCCTGATTTGACATGCAAATTTTAACAGTTAACTGTCTCACACTCTATGCACATACAGAAGCTTTAACAGTTATAATATTATTTATCAACCTTTCATCAAGCTGTGGTCTGACATCACTATGGCTCAAGGGCCAATGAAGTCTAAATGAGATCCTCAAAGAAGTCGTCAGCTGATTCCCAGTAAATGCAGAAAGCACAACACACTTTTTTCTGTGGGTGTCAAACAAATCTGTTTGTTCCTTAGGTCAGCATGTGGTGGTTGGTCCGTCTCATCCCATTGTGGCAATAGTAGGTGGTGACATCCTTTTACCATGCCGTCTGGAACCTGCCATGAATGCTTTGGACAAGACTGTAGAGTGGACGAGAGCAGACCTGGACCCCAGATTTGTTTATGTGTGGCGTGACGGTGTGGAACTGGAGAGTAAAAAACATCCATCCTACAAAGGAAGAACATCTCTGTTCATTGACAAACTGAAGCTCGGAGACATTTCACTGAGTCTCTCCAAAGTGAAACTCTCTGATGAGGGGAGGTACAAATGCTTTATTCCAGGACTGAATGAGTATTCTATTCACCTTGTTGTTGGTAAGTAGATAAAGATGACAGTATGTTTTATAATTATCCATCAAAACATCAAAGTTTACTTTTTTCATTTAATTCTTGCTGTACTACTGAGTAATATATTTATGTATCTCAGATATAAAATGTAAAATTATTTTTAAGAAGAGAAGAGAGACTAGTGGAGTACTGCATTAAATTAAGATAAACTGAGTTTACAAGATGAGGAAGTAAAAAAAGAGGGCTGTTACACAGTAGCATCCATCAGATAACAGGAAAATGATTCCTGGATTTGCAAATGTGCGTTGAGCTGAAAGACCTAATAACATGTGTTAACATAGGTGGCAGTACCTTAGTCTGTAGGGACTTGGCTTAAACATAAACTTAAACGGTTTGAGTTTTACTAACTCATCAAGCTTTACAGTATGATAGCTGAGCCTAATAAGGAGATCTGTGTATGTGAATCAATCATTTATCCACTATTCCATATTTAGGTGCTGTTTCCTCACCTTTCATAGTGAGTATTAACATAACCAGCAGTGGAGTGGTTCTACAGTG